AATTTCTCAAACACTGTCAGCTTGCACTGTCAAGTCCTGTATTCCCAAATCATGGTACAAACCGTGAACATATCGAAGAACGGGGCGATCATCTATCCCCTTTTTTACCTGTTACCATCATCGACTAAAATCAGACCCTCTAAAGGTGGAATATCCTCATCGACAATTGACTGCATCAAAATGCACGTAGTACAGAAGTTGATTTACAATAATTGTTACCTGTACTGAGAGCGACCCAACAACGTGACCAGGAACCAGTTCCCAAAACCGCGCTTGTGAAACTTCAGAAACATCTTCACAGGCAGTAATCTGACGAAATATATTGTCAATCAAACATCAATAACTCCATTACTAACAAAACATTAGTATTGCGCCATATTTCAATAAATATATACCACCTGTCGCCAGCATTTGCTCAATGCTGAAGGTGGAACATTCGGTGGTGCCATTTGGAGTAGAATACCACCACTCGCTCTAAATAGTGGCATTACGAGCATAAAAACTGCAACTGACACTAATCCGAAACACAAAACCTCTGCATTCTGAACCCTACATAGTTGAAGACGAATCTCAAAATGGGAAACAAAAAACAAGGCAAACAAAATAGAAGAAAAATAGACAGAAAATCAAGCATTATTTACGCACCCAATTGACAGAAACCAGGATGCCAATATCAACCCTGCACTGGGAAACAAATTTCCATATACCAGCTTCAGATAGAAGTTCACATGATAAATATATATAGTTACATAGGGTCTCGCTCGACTTATGTTGGCAGACCGATTCTGGAACAGAATTCTAATAAGAATAAACTGATTTAACTGTCTAGATTCAGTGTCTGGCAATATAATCATCTTATGCTGCCAGACAGACTGGGAAGACAATATTTCTGTTGTTACATGTATTCACAAAAAGAGATAACGAGAGGAAGCATATTGTACCTGCGAATTGAATCTGCAAGAACATGCAGACAAACAGAGTGATTGTTCATATCTTCTGCATGTCTGTAAACTGCATAACATATGTGCACCACATAAAACAGAAGTAAAGGATGGAAACCAAAAAATATCATTCCCAATGCTCATACACAGAAGTAAAGCCCTTAAAAGGGGCATGAGACATTGATACAGTGTGCATAAATTAATCATATCCCACACATTTACCAATAGCCTCTATATTTGTTTTGTGATGATCTGAAGTCACTTAATTAGGATGCACAAAGATAATAAAGGCTAAACGGAACACTGATGGATACACCAATACCAGTGGTCTCCAGAAAATACAACATATCATGAGGCTAATGTATGTGTAAGGAACGTGACCGCACCATTCCAATGTGTCATGGAAAACTTTACTTTCCGATTGTAGGCCAAAATCTTTCAACTGATCGTGTATTACTGTAAATATTTAGGTTACGGCAAAAACCAGAATGATTTCTCTGGCCTTTGATGCCAAGTTAACTAAGTTGCACACCAAGTTATATACTAACTCCACTATCCTGAACTTTTAAAAGAATGCAAAAGAGCAGTGGCAAATATTCTAATTAGACTAACCCTGGGGAATTTTTCAGTAGTTAAGGGGAAGTCCCAAAAACAAATACCATGGTGAATTTCATAGACGGTCAAGTCAATCACAAATGGTCTCAATGCCAAAACATAAAATACAGCTGAAAACTTACCAAGATTTACACGAGCATAATTTCTGAAGAACCAAACACCAATAAGGTTCACCAGTAGATTTGTCACAGCCGAAACAATCAAGTAATGCCTACAACCAGATAATTGGCAGAAGACAAAATCCATCAGAATAAAAACTACAACCACAAAAACAAGTAACCAAAAATTTTCTACCACAGTAGTTTGCCTAATGATGAATAGACCAGTGGAAATCCAGGTCCAATTTATTTGAAAAATACATAAGTATCTACTATGTACCAAATCATGAGATCACTTTCAAATAAAATCATCTGATACCCTTGCTAACTGCCCATTTTAAGTCAGAGATACTTATTAAACATGTGACCTACAAAAAATTTGGTAAAGATACAGCAGAGCTTTAAACTACAAAGCTTACTGAAGACAATATTAGAATTACACTTTAATGTTACACCAAAATGAACTTTCTCAGAATTAGTCTTCAACAGTAATGTCTTAGCAAGTCAATGAACCACACTAGCCTAGGGGATTTCTCACATGCATGATGCCTAGCACATATAATAATAGACCACAAAGACAACCATCTGAAGACACATGAAATAATATAAATATATATAACATATTTTGGAACAACAATGAAAGAAGGCAAATGAAATAGTGATCCCGGAAGTGAAAAGTGTATATGGCAAAATACATAATATGAAGAAAATTTAAGTTCAAATGACACAATCATTGGAAAAGGACCCTGAATTGTTGAATGTCAGATCATTGTAGTTTGCATAACCAACTTACTTGTGTTCAGATTCATCCTGTATGAAAGCATGAAGTGCTTCGACAGCCAAGGAGAATGACATAAACAAAAGAAACAGCTGTCTACATGTGCAGCAGAATCAAAACAAAGTCCATATATTAGCCAAGCAGAAACATGGAAGGAAATAATTCAATAGTTACGATCAAATAAAAAGAAAAGGGATGGCAATCTCATCCAATGCAACAAGTTGAGCTACATAAGAGATGTAAAAGCGAAAACATATATACATCATCAGAAAGGCAACATCTAAAAATGTCTATAACCGAATAAAACAAAGGCATTTGGATTGCAACCAAGAAAATCTGTACTAAAAATTCACAAAAATTTGAGTTTTTAACAATATGGATTGTTCCCGGTGCCAAGAATTCCGCCAGACACAAGTAATGTTTAACAAGACACAAAAGTAATAGAATCAAAGTGTTTCAAAATACTAATGCTCTACGCAAACATCGTCACCTAAAAATAGAGAAACTACATATCTTAAAATGCATAAAGAAAGCTTTCTAATTTACTACGAAAGGCTGCAAATTGCCATGATATGCCATGATACGGGAAATGTGAAATACTTACAGCATTGGTAAAAGCAGACAGAACTTGTAGCCTTTTATACCTGATTTACAGAATAAAAGGAACTCATTACACACATCATTCTCAAACCAAATTATGCCCAAAGACATTAATCTTCCAACTCATCTTACTAACAATCTTACCCGTAAGTGTAAATTTCATCCGGTTTCTTTCGAGAAGCCGCCATAGCGAATAACGAAAACGTTAATAAGCCACAACCAAAACTTAAATGAAAAGAATCAGACACCAAACCTGAAAACAAACCAAAAAAACAATTCAACCAAATTTCGAACGATAACATCGAAAATTTCATATAAATTTAGGTAATCAGTGATTTTTTTCGAACCTATACGTCCAGTGAAGAGTCCAATAAATAACTCCACTGTCGAATACGCGACATTAAGCGAAATCAACAAGAACAACCTCTTCATATACCGGTTTCCGGACCTTAATATCCGAAACACCGATTCAAAAACCACCAAAACCGACAACTTCTCGGCAGAAACGCTCCGGCCCCCGAAAATCTTGTCGCTTTCCTCCGTCAGATACGCCCCCGGCGGAACGTCGATGCTGGACACGCTCCGGGAGAGAAACGGCGTCGCCTCGGAGTCGTTGAGATTGATGGAGACCGGCGTGTGCGGAGGTTCGCGGTGCGGCTGGAACGAGGCTTGGCGGGAAAATGCCAATCTTCGATCGGTGGCGCCGAGTCCGAAGTCGGCGCTCCATGGATTCTGAGAGGCTTTGAAGGAATTGGATTTGTCCATGAAGACTGATGGGAAATCTGATTTGAATAGTTAGGGTTTGGATTGAAAGGATCGAAGTCTGAGATTCATACTTGCTTAGAAACCCCTAATATGAGGGACAGGAGAAGACTGAGAGTCAAGTAAACGGAGCTCCAGGCTGAAGAACACGACTTGTTCAAAAATGTGGGGTCCCGTTTTTGTGGAATTTGCCTGCCGTCTGATTTCGGATCAACGGAGTACATTTGAGAATCAGACGATTTTTATTGTGGTTCTTTTTAGTGCTGCTATGCCCACCTGGTTTTCCGTCGTAAATTTTAATGAAATTTTAAGTTTTTATCACAAATAATCTCTGAAGTTAACTCACTTCATCAAAATAATTTTTGAAATTAAAAATCGATCAATATTGTAGTCCCTAAAAATGGATGTCGCACATCAATATGTATTTCCATCCCAATTTTTATATATGCTGATATGGTAGATAACTAGATACCACAAATCTAATTTAGTATAGTTGGTAGATAAAATCAAAGAATTTTTTTTGTTTTACGTCTAGTTTACTTCTTGAGTTCCCTAAAACTCCCCTGAACCTCCCAAGGGTCGAGTTAAGCCTTATGGCTGCTATTGTAATCATCATTCAAGAATTATTCAAATAAACTTTTTGGTTTGCTCCCAAAATTTTCAGGATTCCAAAACGTTGTTCTTCAAGGGCTTACATTGGTATCCCTTCTACGCTCGTACAGTGTCAATTTCTCAAATTAATGTATTGTTTGCCCACATCATAACATATGTATGAGTGAACCTTACACCACAATCTCCAATGGAGAGGGTTAAAGGTTCAAAAGCCAAAATATAAAACACCCCCCCCCCCTCTTAGCTCTTTTTTGGAACTCAACTCGTATGTTGCAATAATTCATTTAAATTCAACGGCTATATTTGAAAAAATCCAACAATAATTTAACTAAATTGCCAATAAATTTAAAGTATAAATTAAAACTAATAAATTATTAAGAGGGGTTATATTTAACCCCTTCGGTTAGAGATAGTACATGAGTATAACCTGACATTGTTCATTAACAAAATAATTTGTTGCAGGGCTATAATTCTAGACAGGGCTTTGCTAAGCCCTTTCGGTTGGAGATGGCCTGAGTACCCAAAAATTCTTCAAAGAGGAATATTAATTATCACCGGAAAATAAGAAATCTTTGTTCCAACATAAACATCAGATGGAGAGAAAAAAAATTCATTAGTTTTTGAATCTCTGTTCAAGCTTTACACAGTCTGGTTCTCTACAGGAGAAGTGGGCATTTTGAGACAGCTCCAGAAATATGCACATCTACTGACAGTACGGCTGAATAATTTGACATTATGCAGAGTGCCAAGTAGTAGAGCCAACATCAAATTTCGATCGGTACAGCGGGTTCTGAGGTTGGAGAAGATATACCGGCTCCATTTTTCTACGAAGATACACTCCCTGCGTCACCGATGCGCTTAAAAGTTTCAACTCCAATTTTCAGACACCAACTGGGTTCTGCAACTGGCAAGCAACAAGATTAGATAACAAAGCTTAAACAAACATATAGATTAAGACTTAAGGGCATTGTAGATGCTGGAAAATTTTAATACATGGCTCGGATCTATAATTTATGTATAAATGGAACGGACTGACCCGTTACTCCATGAATTGGTGGCACAAACATCACACTTGTAGGTGGGGAAGGGAATGCCAAACGATAAAGATATTATGACACTCACCATCTTGTCATGACTGTAGATGATAATCTAAAGTATACGCGTGAATGTCAGAAGGACTTGTGCCGGGCCTGAAAACAAACACCAAGCGTGTAGTATCATTTAGAATATATTCGATACTGGAAACATTCAACAGAAATCAAATTTGAAGAACTTGACAACGGAATAATTCAAATCTAGAAGTGGTTGAATTATTTTGATCATTAAAACAGCAGAAATTGCACTCATTCCAGTATGGGAGTTCAACTATTCTTTTGTAATTGGAAGATCATACAAACTGAACCTACCTTTTATTAATGGTACCATAGTGGAAATTGAGCTTTCCGGCCTTTACGTCTTCAATATACTGCAGCCAAAAGAGATAAGAAACTGTGACGTAAGATAAATTTCTACAAGAAATTGAATAGATGTTAGCATCTGAAAGACGTCCATACCAATTTTAAGGTAACAACCATTGACGAAAATGACAGAGAATCAAAAGGTATCTCATCAAGGGCAAAAAGCTGGCATTCTGATGATTCTGGACCTGGTGAAAAGTGGGGTGTCTTGAGCCTTGCTAAGAAAATTACATAAGTCTGCTCCGAAAAACACAACGCAAGCACAAATACATATTTATCAACTGTACATGAATTTGTTTATCTTGAAGAAAAAAGGTAAACTAAAGATTTCTCGCTTACCTGGCCAATTAGTGGGATGTCCAATTGAGAAAAAGGTGACACCACTTCCACTTCTGCACATGCTTCTTCCCAAGTTTCCCTGATGGCTCCTTCTGCAGCTGATTCCCCAATTTCCATGTAACCTGCAGGAAGAGTCCTAAATGACAACACCAAACAATTAAATATACATCAAAGATACAAGATAGTACATTCAACACAATGAAATCTACTACCCCAGTTGCTGAGACATTACGACTAGCCAGGTGACCCTTCCCAAATACAAACTTTATCCATTAACAAACATACCAAAGGCCATATGATGGTTGAATCTTCCTTTTGCAAAGTAGGACCTTGTTATCATGCTCAATCAGACAACCTACAACCTGTAAGCATCAGTTGAACAACATGTAAATTAATCACATTTGAAATAAAACAATTACTCCTAATATGCATAGTACATATCATAAGGAGGACCAAATGTAGACAATCAAAATCCTGTGTCCATAGGCTCTGGAACTTCAAAATCAAATCCTGAGCACATAATATTTGTAAAGCTTCCTCCTTTCCAAATTCGACCATAGCATTTATTCCAGATTTACAATTATAGAAACTGACTCCAGTTGATGAAAAGAGGAAAAAGTGAGCAGGACAAACTGGTGAATACTGAATAGTAGAAGCAGAGTTACAATTAGAGGAAATTGGAGAACTGGTTCTTGAACAAATTGTATCTGAATTTAAATAACCGTGGAGCATTGGTCCTCAACTCTCACATTGGGAGGAGGCAAGTTCCAGATATCACTTTTAACACCGTTTTGACCAAAATGCATCAACTGGTCAACAATATGATTTCATGGAGCGAAGCCAAGTTGGCTTTCAGAGTCTGGCCAATGGGGCTGCGGGACGAGGCTCAAGGTGGGGGTTAGGGTTTAGGATTGGGTGAGGCTGCGAGATGGGGGTTGGACCAACCTCCAATTTACTCTTACAAATAAATAAATGTTTGTCAGAGTGAACAGGTGTGTCAGTATGCGAAGGCACACATGCATAGAAAATCTATTAGACAGCACTATTGTGAAGAAACGAACCAGGGTAGCCTTTCGAGTATCCAATCTGGTTTGAGTCTAAAACAACAGGTGAAGAAATAACATAGTTAAACTTATTTTTCATTACCATCAAAATCAGATTTTGGAATCAACAAAAACTCCTACAGTAACGTGAAAAATTATCCCAAACGTTGCAGAGTTACAAAAGGAAAAAAGAATATACAACTAATGCCAGTTTGGAAGCATCATGTGATCTAGATTTGAAGCGTAAGTGAGAGGAACACCTGGCTGGAATTGGGACAAATATCAAAGTTGCCCATTTGTCATAAATACTACATCTATGGATATCATACATTTTAGACTAACAATGAAAACTTCATACTGTCATACAAAGGAAAGACAATAATCTACAAGATATTATGTATGAGATTGCTAAATTGCTATGTACTTACCCAATGTAAATCTTAATAAACAGACTGATGATGTACTAACAACTAAAGGAAAGAATTCAGTATATTTCGACTAATACTCAAAGTTTCAAACTCATGTTATAACCTACATTATATTGAAAAACTTTGAATCATTTTTTCATGGATTGGCACATGCACAGCACAAATCAATAATTTGAACTGGAAAACAAACTCTAACTTGAATAGCATACCATTTTTGGGTTCTCATAGGCAATCCTCTCACAAACTGTGCATATAGCTCTTATCTTCTCCTCACCATCGGGTATCTCATACTTTGTTGGACCACCACACGACTGGCAGAAATTAATCTTACGAGCATTGCCCTTCACAGTAATAGAAACTAAATTTGTAAAGAAGATATGAAATAACCAATGAAAAGAAAATGTAGACAAGTAAACACAAAACCCTCAATATGGGTTATAATCTGTAATGTATAACATCGTCTACTTATCATAGAAAACACAGATGATGACTACACGAAACTCTCAATATGGGTGGTAATCTATAATGTATAACATCGAGTACTTATCGTAGAAAACATAGATGATGACTTGTTAAAGATACGCAAGCACGCAAATGAAAAAGCTGCAATCTTTAATCAATCTGAAATGTACTACTCACCCCACTTTGATTCCATGACTTATTTACTTGGTACAATACGTTGTCCTTATGAGTTCAAGCTATGCCTTTGTCCACCAATTTTGCTTGCAAATACAACAAATGATAAAGGGATGCCTAAAGAAACTTCTAATTACTCAATATACTCAAATTAAGAGGTCAACCAAATCTGTCCTCAATTATAAACTAGATACAAACAAGTGCTTTAACTTCAAATTTTCAATATTTAACAAAAAAAAAAAAAAAACCACAACGCCAGCATCAAAAGCAACCAAATTTCTCTAGAACCCACCAAATAAATTGAACATCCAATTCCCAAAAATCCATATCAAACCCATCATTACAAAAAGGGAAAAAAAAAAAAAAGAGAAAAAGAAAACAGAGGCTTACAGCAGACTGAACCGTAACTGAAGACGAAGGGCCATCTGGGTTGGACCCAGAAGGAGCTGAGGACATGCTGAAAGCTCCAAAACGAGGGCGGCGAGTGGAAGAGGACCAAGTGGTGGTAGTTGTGGACAACAACGTTGATGACGAAGAAGAAAAGGAATAAGATAATGATGGGTTGGAGCAGGTGGAGATAGAAAGGAAGGAGAGGCTACCACCTGTAGCAGAATATGGCTTCCAGCGATGAGAAACGAAGCCCGATGAACAACCCAAGATCTGTCTGTTCTTTAGCATTATATATATACACACACATATATATGTTTCTCCTGAATTTTTTGACCCAGAAGATTATCAAAACCCGATAGACTCAATCAACCCCAAAAAAATTATACAGACGCTGGTTTCTGAAACCAGAGTTACAACAACAGTATCAATATGCTTTTTATTTTTCATTTTTTTCTTATATCAGGCTTTTTTGTTTTATGAACTATTTAGGCTATCTCTAACCATAATACTCTAATCTGGCAAGATATTAATATTAATAACAGTACAGAATTATATTTGCCCCTCATCTTCAATCGAGGGTCAAAGGGCCATAGGGCTCATTTTAGCCCTATCACAAAAAACCGTCTCCAACCGTAGCCCTCTGATCCTCAAAGATATTAATATTTTAAGGATCATATTTGCCTCCGTCTCCAACCAAGAGTCAAATGACCATAGGGCTCATTTTAGCCCTGTCACAAAAAACCGTCTCCAACCGACAGCCAACGGGTCATAGGGCCAAACATAATTTATTAGTTAAATTTAATATTATTTAATGTTGTTTCATGTTACTTAATTTAATTTAATGTTGTATAATGGCTTAGGAATTTATAGGAAAAAAATAGAATTTAAAAAAACAAATTAAAAATTTTGTAAAGAAAAGAAAAAAGCCTACCATTCATGTCGGCTATAACGAATAGGAATAAGTACAATGTTATCGAATATAATCGATAGAAATAATGAAAATTCTAGCCAGCCCCAGGCTGGCTAGTTGAGTTGGGCCAGCCGGTTGGCCATTTGGCCCTTTTTTGTCCAGTGAGGCCCACAAGCCCTTTGACCTAACCCTCAGTTGGAGACGGTTTTCGAGCTATTTCGGCCCTCTAGACCTTTCAGTTGGAGATGGTCTTACGATTGGGAAGTCAACTTTAATTAACATCAGGCTTTTTTTTCCTTTTAAAATGCTATTTGTTTTGTGAACTAATTGCAATTGACAAGTTCACTTAGTACTACGGTATAGTGTTATTACTCTTTTGTCAATAAGTTTTAAATTTGATTCTCATCAAATATGAATTTAAACTACATTACTATTAACCCATTGTGAGGCTTAGCCTTTAGCCCACTCCCCCAAATTCTCTTTTGCTCAAAAAACTACGATTGGCAAGTCAACCACCATTGCTGCTCTTCTCCCACCACCATTGCCTGAGGCTGAGGCTTAGCTTCCAATGTTGTGTTGTGGTGGTTGCCTCTTGTTTTGGCAGTCTAATAAGCAAACTTTATCTTTGCTTACCCAAGAACCCTGGTTCATGGCATGTGCGTGGGAAGCGCTCACAACATAGTTCAATCAAGAACAAATTATTCTCTGATATCAAGTTGAAAATAAAATATTTGTTGTAAATTTCATTTTGTACATGCGGTACAACGTAAACCGGCTAAAAAACTATTAACTTGACTTGACTAGTAATCGGCTTAAAACTACAAACTTTAATAAAAATGTGATGAAATGTTACATCTTCTAGCTACCTCTGGTTACACTAAATAAGCCGGCTTGAAGCATCATCCCACCGCAGCCAGTTTACAGTACAATGATTGATATGCTGCGCTGCAAAGCTTGAACTTTTCCTCTGCAGCTGCCTGCAACAATGTAACCTAATCATCAGTCTCTGTACAACTAGATTTGTGTATACGAGTCTGCTAAAATTGCAAAATAGGCCGCCTGAGCGACTGGTGCTCAATTTATTTCCAGGCGTTGGATCATCTTAACCACTTGCAACGGATATTCAATTCCACTTATAGTAAATGACCCAGGTCTCGGAATACAGTAAACACTTACAATTGCTTCGTCAACGTGTAGCTTTGCTGGGAAATATTAGGTAAATAGTAGTATAGTACCTGTGAATGATTTACCACTTCACAGTCCGGTAAAAATACTATGATTTTCTCGTCCTAAATATGATAAGCGAAATTACTCTTACTTTACTACTCATGGCATTCTGTGTCAAAGATCGGTTAGATCATATTACCTTGGAAGAACCCTGGTGACGATCTGGATGCCATTTCAGCGCACAGATTCGATACCTGAAATTGTTAAACGTAGGATTTGGGTGAGATGATAAAGAATAGTAATATATGAGTGGACAAGAGTGATTGAGAAGTAAAAATGCAACCCAGCTAAAAGAACTCACGCATTCTTGACATCATCAAGTGTTAGAGGACCCGAAGCACGCAACCCGAGGGCCAACCTTTCATCTGACTCCATATTCTCAGGCTCAGATTCATATTGATACTCTTCCTTATTGTTATGTCTCCAATTCCAAGACCTCCCATAGTTAGAGTAATTACTAGAGCTCCTCCACTGTGAATTCTCTTCATTAATGAATGACCAATAATAAAATTTGTTTCCACCAAACATGGATCGGAAAATGGTCTCCACGTCTTCATCTTCTTCACAAAACCGGAAATCACCTGAAATGGCGACGGACTGAGATCGTATGAAAATGAACTAAAAAAAATCAGGACAAACATCAATCATGCAAGGAATATGTAAGGTGCCCTAATGCACAATTTATGCTCAAAAGGTAAAACTATATACCGCAGACTTACACCCAATGATCTCTGTTGAACAAAGGGAACACTTGAGCCCACAAGAAAGGCTCCAATGAAAATTCTACCAAGAATACGGGCAGAATATTTCCTGAATGAAGCAACTAAAATACACGCCCACCCTGACCCGGGTTAACAGATGCGCCGGTCATATATCTAATTTAACAAGATCTACTACATGTCCTTTTCTGCATAACTACTTTCTTACTTCTTCCGTATTTCCAGGCTCCTTGATTGCCTGCCTTCTTTTTGGACCCCTTGGCAGAATATTGCTTTTTAAACCATGAGGTGCCTCTGCTTGAAGATGGCTCCTCATCATCATACTCATTCTGCCAACTCTGCAACATTCAAAAGATATACAATTGCGATTAAAAAAAAAGATATATAATTCCAAGATAATTAAAAAATTTGAAACAGAACAAAATAGAATGACGATAAAAAGTTCAAAAGTTCACCCATGCATAAATTAAAAGTGCCAACAAAAGTACAAAGATGAGGAATCCATGAGAAAGAGAAATATATCAAACCATTATTAGGATAAAAAAGAAAGTCATTCGACAATATAAGAAGACACTGCTAAAAAAAAACAGGCTGTTGCTGGAAATCATAATCATCAAAAGTGGGAAACCAAGAGAAGGTGTTCTATATCAGTGAAATTCATTTCTGTGTAAGTATTTTACAAAGGAAAAAGGCGAAAAAGGTTAAAAAAGACAGTGCTCTTTCCTGAAACTTTAAGAATCATCCACACAACGGACTTTAACGTCCCATGGAATATAGGTAAAATATGTTAGGAATGCAAAATAAAAATTTGATATCGAGGGACATTTTTTTTATTTTACCGAAATTTGATAGGAGGACTGGAAAATGACTAGATGCAATACATTTGAAAGTCATTTATTTAGTGTCTTTGTTGTAATCAGTAGTGTTTTAGTGGTAGCTTTGTAGTGCTTGAGTAATTCATTGGTAGTGTTCTTGTAGTGCATTTATAACAACAATTGGTATAAAGTTCCTTGGTACTTCAAGTTTAAGGTCCCTCATCTAAACATAGCATTTGGAAATTTCCGGCAGAAGATTATTAACAGGTGAAAGTTAAATGTGATGACAAGCACCTATTTCATAATATAATATGAAACAAATTACAACAAGAATGGAGAACCTGAAATAAGAAATCTGCATAAGCATTGACATTGCGCGTTAAAGTTTGCTTTCCATGGAACCTTCTGGACCTTCTTCCATAGTTGTTAAATCTCTGCAAATAAAAAGATGCATTCACTGTCAGAATTAAGAAATAGAATATAAGGTCTTATGACTCAAAAGGAGAAAGAATGGGGATAAGGAAACAAAGAATGCAAATGAACAAAAAAATTTGACACATCCTACATATCTAGTGCAGTAAAGAAATGTACAGCATCACATTAGATGGAAACAGAACTTTGAATAAATTCATTTGGTTAACATAAAATAAAAATTGAAATGCAGAAAAATAGACAAAATTAACAAAGCTACAACCTAAGGACGATTACATGGTCCTTCTTCGTGCCACAAACTGGCCACTTACTAGACAACGAGAAAAGAAAACATATGCTTGAAATTGTTTTAACACTTTGACCTAACCCTGTGCAGGCTAAGCATTATGGCAAAGACGCCTATTTATTTATTTTTCAGAGGAGTATAGTTCCTAAAATACTCTAATGGTATAACACATACATATGTAATACGTTTGGTTCCAAAAGTACCTGTTTTTTCCACATAATTGAGAAGAGTACTGGACACGGAAGTAATTTTAAAAACTATTACGCGAATTTACTTTACTGACTGGGCAGAGGATTGAGGCATGTGTATGCTCAGCCTGGGCTGCTATGTGGGCTAGAAAGGGGGGAGTGTTACAGTGTGCTGTTAACACTATCCATCCTTAAAGTAATGTGTGTTCTCTCTTTATATTGCAGCAAAGATATAAGGACAGCTTTCAATCTGTAACATTTTCCAATCATTTGTTAAAAGCTAATGTCTATGGACTCATTTCCAAATTCAATAATTTGCAAACAAGTTTGGAGATATATATTTAGTGGCAAAAACCAGAATCAGGGATGAAAATACAGCACATAATTGGTATGGTTTAGATACTCATAAAAGAATACTATGCAAGGAATATTCCCAAAATATGGACTGAATATGAGTAGAGAAGATGGATGACGATAGAATATAACAATTTGAATTGCCATTGACTTTTCAAGAAAAGGTAGAAATGCAACACACACATATGTCGAGATGATAAGGGTCAACTCCTTGAACCAACGTTCCTATCAGTTCCAGAGAAAATATACGACATCTCATTTCAATTTCCATACATGAGTTCTTATGCGTTTCTACAGCCCTTCAAGTGATGAATAGCATCTCATTGAACCTTACTAAATTCTGAACAGCATTTCAAGGGTCCTTTTGCATTCAGGGTTAAAATTCTCATAATTTCCAAACAATTAAAAGTGAGTACCCTGCAGGATGCAATAGGAGACAGTTGTGGCCTAGTTTATCGTTCGAAAGCTTGAATTTTTACTGCAATGCACTGCCTAATTGGTGAGGAAACTCAAATTTCAATCCATCAACTTCAGCTCAGAAGTTCCAACTACGCATTTTTTTCAGACAACGATAACAAAATTCTTTCTTTTATCAAATCCCAAGAACAAAATGTAACATAACCCACAAAATTCCATCGATTTCTCACTTCCACCAAGTTTTCACAGCCAAACCAAGCACAGAAGCAAAAGGCAAACATTAAGCGTAACAAAGAAAAAAAAAACCAAAATTACCAATTTTTCCGGATTCTTAATTATCTTATATCAACACATAGTGGGCATCCCCAATAACCCAAATCACCAAAAGTTTCAAACTTTAGCAGAAATTATCAAAATTAAACAAAATGGACATTGACCCAGAAACATATACACATAGCTGATGAATATATACATATATATATATATATAGAAAGAGAGAGAGAGAATTACAGGTTCCGAGTAGGATCGTCGCTTACGATCCAAGACAGGGGTGGAATGAAAGAGGGCGGCCCTCACATAAATGCAGCAGTTGGGATTGGAGATTGTGAGAGCCGCTTTCATGGCGGTGTTCATTTTGCTTGAAATATGATTGTCGCAGAAAGGCAGAGGCAGCTCATCAAAAAGGAAGAAGCAGAGGTGAAGCCCAAGGCCCTGAACCTACGCTTACGCTACGCCGATGTAATTATTGTTCGCAAACGTTATTCGGTAGGATTATGGGTCGGCATTTCAATGTCTACCGATCTTATTGGGTTGGCAACGTGGCGGGGCGGGGAGGGGCTGCCCCTCGTCCATCCGATTTTTCTTCGGGGCGTTTCCAGGCCCACCGGACCTAAACCCATTAGGCTTCTACAGTTGCCAAACGAAAGAAGTACATCTTGCAAAGATATAACCTTTTAATATGTTACAATTGCAAACCTTGATATATAAAATACCAAAAATATATTTAAAATACACCAAATTGTTAATTTTTCCAAAATACAACAAGTGTCGTCTTTGACAATTTAGGGCCATGTGGGAATGATATAAAGGGGCCTCCTAGCCTTCTAATAAATTTTTTTGGACAACGTAACCATGTCAAATTTTGACAAATAAAATCCCCACTTAATCAACGTCAACATCTCACTTCAACTAATCAATAATCTTACTAAATAATTTGTTGCTTCATCTGCCATGAAGTTATGGTTTAAGGTTCATTCGTGAAAAAAAGGTGCATGATTGCTAAAGAGATAAGAGAATCCACTTGTGTTTGTGGGAAAAAGGTAATATACAATTTAATTTGTTATTGTTAGGAAACAATGATATGTTAATATAATAATTGTAGGCTCTAATTACCCTTTTTAAATGAATTGTGATATCTAAACTAAATTTTTTTTATTAATTTGTTGTTAGGAAATTCAACATGTGCATTTGAAATATATAGAAGGATAAAAATTGGGTCCCTCTGAACTACTTGTATGCGCTTAACACTGCTGCCTCTTTGAAGAACACTTTGGGTAAGGCCTAACTTGTTAGGGATCATGTTGAGTGACACTATTAGCCGCATAAAACTTGCCACGTGATAAAGAACAAACTACAAATAAACTTAACACAAACAGATTGACCGAAAAAAAAGGAAGACAAATAGAAGCGGATGCCAAATCAAGACGAAAACAAATAAATAAAATTGACAACTTTCCATATATCATAACTAGAGAAACCAAACCAAACCAAACCAAAGGAGAAATGAAGGAGATTAAAAGAAGTGATACACAAACCAAACAAGAGACGAACTGAATGCACAACGAGTGATCGAATACGCTATGATGTCATGTTACCAATTAAGGATGTAAAAAGAAGGAAAACTTATTGCAAACTGTGATTCTTAATTAGTTTAAAAAGATAAGGTGTATGCATAAAGATCTTAAAGCTATAAATTGCCGAGATTGCTACATAACGGAAGGACCAAACTTGTCATGACTTACTGTTTGGTGGTATTCCTCTTCACTTTGAAGTAAAAGGTCTTAAGTTTGAATCTCATGAATGGCAAATTCGATATCAAATTAGGTTGCTCCTTGTGTGGCTTAGCCGAACTCCCCCTCCCTTTAGTGTAAAATTATCGATGTACTAAAAAAAAAAAAACTCTAAACAAACATAAAATAATAAAAAAATCTAACACGTAAAATATCAAAATTATCCAAACTTAAATTATACCAAATTGAGAAACATAAGAGGAGGTATGATGACGCTCTGAACTTGAATTCATGAGGGTTAGAGACCTATTAGGTGTGTCCTTTTTAGGATCATGAACGAAATTGTATTGTTTTTACGTGTGAATAAGAGTAACTACCCTATAAATCAGGGAGTTTTATCGAATTATTGAGAGAATTGTCCTTAATTTTTGTGTTATTATGTCATCATTTATCAAATGGCTTCTTCACTTTCCAAATGTCGGCCAACATGTCACTATCCTAATGTTCACTTAGACATTTGGATTGAAGTTTAAGGGGAAGTTGGATACTTTTAATTTATCTAATATGTGGACCCATGAATTTTTCAAAAACAAAAAGAAAAATAAGAATGAGGATCCTTTTCGGATCGTCTTTGTGAGGATCCTGGAGATTCTCTAATCACATATGTTCATCGTACATCGTGCGATCAGTTTTCTTCGGGTATTATTTATATTTATTTTAAGTAAAAAGATTTACAATGATTTATAATCACACAATATATAATGAATGAATGTAATTGGAGGATTCTCAAGATCCTCACAAAGAGAACCCGAAGAGGATCCTCAATCAAAAAATAGCGAAACAAAATAAGTAGGGAATGTATGAAAAGAAAATTTTCTAAATAAAGAAAGCATACCTCCTCTTAATGAACTTGACCCATGACATGCATTGATGCATTACATAGTTTGATGAGTAGGTGTCTAGGTGGCCATGCCCAAAAGAAGACTGTTAAAATGAAAATAGTTTCTGTAGCGTACATGCGGGACCAAAGTAGCCATGATAGCCAGCTCCAAAAGATGTTCTTCACATGGATAAAGATGTGCAATTAGATCCCATTTCCAACTAAACAATGCCTTTATCATACATCACTATACCAAAAAGTATACCTCTTAACTCATCATATGACAATGGGGTAATTCTCAGCTCTGATGTTAATTACCAATTAACGATGCTATTTCTCGACTGTTAGATCGTAAATTTCTTTCACAAAGACGAGATAAATAATCATTCTCAAATAAATTTGAATTCCATATCATTACATTGCTTCTTATTTTATTACGAACTTGTTGTCACTCAACCACTTCGTCGAATGCGTTGTTTCCTCCCCATTTCTTAAGCAAACATAGTCAATAACTAAATGAGGCAATATTAGTCATTTCTTGCTCTTTGATTACTCCACCGTTTTTCATTTGACAATAAAATTTAGTATCCAATTGTTATTCGTTGTAACATTACAGCTACAATTAACTATTTACATGTTGGTCAAGTAATCAATTATTATGATGATAACTTTGCGTTGTATATAAAATTAATTCTCTAACATCCATTGTGCTAACACCCTTCGCAATCCATTAAAGATTCATTGGATTACTCATAAATTATTAAAAGGATTAATTGGATTATAAAATTTAAAAAGAAAACTAAAGAATGTTTAGGAAATTTTAAAAGGAAAAAAAAAAACTTTTGTAGAATGATTTGGAACCCATTTGGATTCAAATTGTGAGATCTTAAAGATTCTCACATCTTAGCCATTTATTATGTATCGTGCAATCATAAATCATTTTTTATATTTAAAATTAAATATAAATAGTACTGACGAAAACTGATTGCACAATGTATGATGAACATGAATCCTCACAAAATGAATCTGGAAAAGATCTTCCTTTTTAGAAGACTGGCTCAAAGATGTGTAACCACGTTGTGAGCTTCGCCGGTAGTTACGCGTTTCACGTTTCCGTTAAGAGAGAGTCTTATTACATGTGTTTGATCCGCCGTTAGTTTAGCCGTTGACGAACTCCACGTTTCCGTTAAGCGAGGAGGAGCGATAAGATAGGCGAAACGAGCGAGCGTCCGTGGAAGCGGCCGCACGGGAACACACCACGCCGACATGATCTCCCATCAGTTGGAAACTGAATTGCTGAGTTGGCAATATGCTGTTTTCGCAAAAACGCACCGTCCCATGTATGATTACTGCCACCCAACCCCACATACCTCCCACCCACTTGGATAAAGCGATTCAACGGGCATCCTATTTGGCTGAATAAAACGCTCTCTTTTGCATGACCAATTTGCCCTCCTCTCCTTTATAATTTGACAACCATACAAGTACAAGGGTATTCCTGGAAACTAAGTTTGGTAGTACCTATTTGCCGTCTTTTTATTTCTTTTTTCTCCAAAAAAAAGATCAGATGCGGCAATTCAATATTTTGGAAGTCCAAAAAGACTAATAGAATCATTTTAACCTTCTTTAACATTATCGTGTAATTCACCTAATTTCCAGAAATTGAACTCAGAATATGTCATGTGGAATACGAGCCTGAAATTTTTCTCCAATCACTGATAACATTTTTTTTTGTAGGGAAATGTTATTGGTACTCCAAAAATCTCATTATACACTCCTCACAAGTGTATTTTTCTTTCCAAATATATAAAGTTTGGAGTGTAGAATGAGATTTTTGGAGTGCCAATAACAATTCCCTTTTTTGTATGATCAACTGACTTATGCCATACTTGTACTCTACAAATTGTTACTATACCTAACCAATAGTTGTTCATATTGAGATAATTAGCAACAAACTAATGATGTATGGTTTGATCTTTTTGTAAGTGTACTTATTTACTTTATTAAAATATTGCAGATGTTTTATTGCCTTGGGCATAGTGGCATAACCAAATAAACTAGAGCAGATGTGATCTTTCTATGAACAGAAAAAAGATGCATGATATTAAACATAAATCCTCTTCAATCTATGTTGCAATTGAAGGAAGTGCTCGCCACTTAGGTGTCACACCTCAAAACGAATATCTACTAATGAAGCTCTCACAATAGTTTAACCCACATCAACATAGTTACGATTAACAAGACATATAACATACAACAACACAATTCGAGATACCATTTGAAATTTGAAGGACAAAATCATGTTAAACTTTTTTGAATAAAACTACAATTACCAAAGCTAGGTCCTAAAAAAATCTTATTAATATACTATATTCGATTTGTTAGTGATTCAAATTTAAAAAGAAATAAATAAGTAACGATTTTAGTAATTAATTTAGGAAAGGGGGTTATGAAATTAACCATGATTCCCAATATACCCTTGGTAACAAAACCAAAG